ATGGAATACTAGTATGTTAAAGAAAGTTTGCACTAGCTCCTTATTGCAGACTTATGAGTGGCTGCTTCTAAGCCTACTAGCATACCTACGGAGGTCAATCAAAGGTTCACTAGTGAATAATTTGATCACAACTATAAGACTGAGGGCAATACTGATGAGTTGTTGTCCGATCCTACTGGCTATCAGAAACTAGTAGGGAAGCTGCTATACCTAACAATGACTCGACCAGATATAAGATACACAGTGCAGAACCTGAGTCAATTTATGCATAAACCAAAGAGATCACACGTGGAAGGGGCTCTAAGGGTGGTGAAGTACTTAAAGAATGCACCTGGTTTGGGCATCTTGTTACCTTCTAAGCCATCCTCACAACTTACAGTCTACCGTGATGCAGACTAGGCCAATTGTCCCATGACAAGAAGGTTAGTTAGTGGCTTCATAGTCAAGCTGGGAGACTCCTTGATTTCTTGAAAATCAAAGAAGCAAAGTACAGTGTCAAGAAGTTCAGCAGAGGCATAATACAGAAGTATGGCCAATGCAATTGCAGAAATAGTTTGGCTCATTAGACTGTGTGAGGAACTGAAGGTGAAGCTGGAGTTGCCTGTTAAACTATATTGTGATAGCAAGGGAGCACTTCAAATTGCTGCTAATCCTATCTATCATGAACGAACGAAGCACATAGAAATCGACCGTCACTTCATTAGGGAAAAGATACATGAGGGCATTATACACACAGAACATGTGTCCACAAGTTTGCAGCTGGCAGATATTCTAACTAAAGGTTTAGGAAAGGCGCAATATGACTTCCTATTATCCAAGCTAGGAATGTTCAATTTGTTCATATTACATAGCTTGAGGGGGAGTGTTAAAGGTGTCACATGAGTAGGAAGCCAGATGACACTTAGCTGGTAAAGAGTGTTAGATTAGTTGCTAATTATACAATTAGAAGTTAGTTAGAGTCAGTTGGATTACACTTTATATGTATGTGTATAGACGGTTATTCAATACAATAGTGAAAATAATTTTCTCATCTTCTCTTTTCCTCTCTAAGTTGCGATCTCTCTTAGCTTAATCTAGAAGCATCCATGACAGATGTTTGACACATTACTATTTGGGGAGCCAAAGAGGTTCTTCTTTATCATGTGTTTTCTTAAATGTTTTATAAATATTTTGAATTATAATTTTTTTTATGAATTATAGTACTTTTTATGTAAAAAAAATGAATTTGTATCTAAATTTACGGTGTAAAGTAAGCTAGCGTTTGGCCATAGATTCCCAAATTTGTTCTGAAAAATCTGATTTGGGTGAAGTTTGGTTTGGAGATGAAAATGCGTTTGGACATCAGTTTTCAAAACATATTTCCCAAATTTATTTTGGAAAAACATGAAATATGATTTATACCCACAAGTTCTAAAAACTATCACAAATACCCAACAGTACCATTATCAATAACATTCATTAAAAAACTTTGATTCTCGTAAAAACTTTGATTATCAATCACAAATATCCAAATTTATTTTGGCAAAATCTATGGTCAAACGGGTATTAAGAACTTTGATTCTCGTGCTATGTACCTTGCCCGGAATGGAATTGTACGGGTATTAGAAAAATACATTGTGCTGCCAAATGCATTGTACAATAACTATAACTACTTATAGTTATTGTATGTTTTTTCTTTCTTTTATTTATTTACATATGTAATGATGGTATACAGTTGCGAATGTGATGTTTCTGGAGTCGCCGGCAGGGGTTGGGTTCTCTTATTCCAACACTACCTCGGACTATTCAAAGTCAGGCGATAAGAGGACTGGTACACACCGAAAAATCTCGTTAATACAATAGTAATAATTGTCAGTTTCATTATTATTTTTTTAAAACAATTTTAACAGTCAAAATGATGAAATTTTACTCTTTCATTTAACTCCTCAACTTCAATTTCAACTTCACATGCTCTATTCGTCAACACTCAACTCCAATCAAACATTGTGCAAACAGTTATATTATTATCGTTTGTAGTCTGTAACTATTTTTTAATTTTTTTTAAAGACTACACTTGAGTATCGTTAAAAACATGGTCAAATCTTTTGGTCACTTAAAGTGAGGCAGAGGTGGTGTCTTTTCTTATCAAACGAGATTTTTCATTTTTTTATTTATCATTAATTCAGTTATATATTTATTTCTTTTCCTTAAACTATATTCTTTTTTATTGGGTGACAGCTGAAGATGCATATAGGTTTCTAGTGAATTGGTTCAAGAGGTTTCCACATTACAAAGGCAGGGATTTCTACATCATGGGAGAAAGCTATGCAGGTATCTAGTACAGTATCAGTAATTAACAAACGAAAAAATACAAAACAAAAACTTTTGATATTCTTGACTTATCCTTCTAGTAGTGAGAGCCCTCATTATTGAGTTCTGTCCAATAAAATTTGTAAGAATTAAGGACCACTGTATCAGAGACAGCTTGTGCATATTTCAGACCATTCACAGAAATGTCCTCCTGTACAGTCTCAGCTCAAAGCCGAAATGAGCATTCTGATTGAAAATTTTGGCTATATTTGTAATACAATCTTATATAAGTAGTCTATATCTAAAGTCTAATATTGACATGACAGCTAATATTGCTGTGACTGCTCATCACAGGATTCTACGTACCAGAGCTAGCAGATATCATTGTCAAGAGGAACATGTTGCCTACCACAAACTTCTACATCCAATTCAAAGGAATCATGGTATTATATCATTTAATTTGTTGACCTTTTAATTTGTTTGATCTCTCTGTTATCAAATCTTACTTGTATACCTAGTGATGAGGGGCGGATTTAGGGGTGCAAGGGTGTTCACCCGAATCCCTTCGCCGAAAAATTACACGGTATATATAAGAAAAAGTCTGATATTTACCTTTATATATTATGTTTTGAATTTCCTTTACACAGCCCAAAAGTCTACTCTATGTCATGACATAAATTATTTCTTTATATTGCAGATAGGGAATGGTATAATGAATGATGAAACAGACGAGAAAGGGACATTGGATTATTTATGGAGTCATGCACTAATCTCAGACGAGACTCATCGAGGTCTCCTACAACACTGCAAAACGGAGACCGAAACATGCCAACATTTTCAGAACATAGCAGAGGCTGAGTTGGGAAACGTCGATCCTTACAACATCTATGGTCCCCAATGTTCCATTAATTCAAAGAGCAGATCTTCTTCTCCGAAACTGAAGAATGGATATGATCCTTGCGAACAACAATACGTTCAGAATTATCTCAATCTTCCTCATGTGCAGAAGGCCTTGCATGCTAACCTCACTAACCTTCCTTATCTTTGGAACCCATGCAGGTAATCCAACTAAGTAAATATTATGTATAGCATATCGATTTAACTTATATATACCGATAGTATAAACAATTTTTACACTGTCGTTGTATATGTATTGATTTATATATATACACTGTTAGTGTAAAATGTGTTGTAACAAATAATCTATGTTATTTTTCTATTTATAAATTAAATTCTACTTTTTATAAATAATAACTTGTACTTATCTTTTTGGTCACCTGATAGAAACTCTTTTATATCATCCAATGTGTATTTAAATCTGTTGCGGCAATGATATTTCTTATTTTCAAGATTACAAAATCTCACTCTTTATGTTTAGTTTATGTCACTTTTAATATGTAGAAGGTAATTGAACTCATATAAAAAATAGTGTATATGATATGATATGATGATTTTTTTTCTTTTTTTTTTTTCATTTGGTATGGTAGCAATTTGGATTGGAAGGATACTCCAGCAACCATGTTTCCGATATACAAGAGACTTATTGCATCTGGTCTACGTATACTTCTTTACAGGTAACTTTATTATGGGCTTATCTTAGACTTTGGTTTATGTTCATGATACAATATTTTTAATTGTTCGAATAAAGAACAAGTGGATTTGTATTGTTTGGAAACAGTGGAGATGTTGATGCAGTAGTTTCAGTTACTTCAACTCGCTATAGCCTTAGTGCTATGAACCTTAAGGTGATCAAACCTTGGCGTCCTTGGCTTGATGACACACAAGAAGTACGTTCTTCGAATATATTTTTTAATGATAATTTTATATATTTGTGGTGAGAAATAAATCTTATTGTTTCGTTCTTTGTTTTTTTTTTATAATTTAAAGGTAGTTTGTATAATTTCTGCAGGTAGCTGGATATATGGTGGTTTATGATGGATTAGCTTTCGCAACAGTTAGGGGAGCAGGGCACCAAGTTCCACAATTTCAACCACGTCGAGCTTTTGCTTTGTTGAATATGTTCTTTGCCAATCATTCTTAGCATTTGGGATTGATCACGTTGGAAGTTCATTTCCCACTCATCCGAATAATTGGACATATTTTATTAATCAAATTCTTATTCTCATTAAGAAATATGTCTCTTCTTTTCCGTGACTCTGAGAGGAAATAAAACACAAATTCTAGCAATCTATAACCTCTCTTGATTATACTTGAAAAGCCTTAACAATAAATTTTCTTCTTAATTAAGTACTATTAAATATGTTTCTATCTTCTTTGCCGAACAATGGAAGAGGCAATTCTAGCCTTACTTTTTAGGTGCAATAGCCGGCCGATATTATTGCTTTTGATGTTCAACTCTTTGACTTACGAACATGAATATTTCCAATTGTACGTGGAGACGAATGTTGTCTAGCATTAATGTTGTATAATAATAAGTTTTTGGTTTCTCTTATAGTTCATTGGGTATATAAGACATAGTAAAGTATTATGTTTGAACGTCATAACTTTTTAAAAGACGCATTCTTAAAGTTAATCAGACTAAAACAGATGGAGTAATACTGTTTCTCACAAAGGTTAAATGGTGTGTTGTTAAGTGTGTAAACTAGTATAAATGAAACAAAACAAAGTAATCTTTGATAAATCTTCATTTTATTTTATACAACCACACTGATTTTTATTAAATAGAAAAGCAAAATACGAAGAGCATAGGACTAGATCAAACCCCCTAGGGATCAAGCTTGAGAGAAAAGAGTAAACATCATTTCTCTATTATTTTGAAATACTAGATCCGAGCTACTTAAATACATAAAAAGAATATCTAAGGATCTAATATTGATTCGTTTTTTTCTTGTGAGACCAATTTGATATTTCTTTTTATTCAAGGAGGAACCATTTAAATCTTTGCACACCTTCTTTTTTTTTCTTTTTTTTTTCTTTCTAATTTCTCTGTCCTCAGAATCGTCTCGCCAAATAACCTAATTCATCATCACTGAATTTTCTTCTGAGAAAGACTCAAAAATCTATTTTATTAAATAAATCTTCACTTTATCTCATTTCTCTCTCAGCCGTCCTGTCTGATCGAACAACGATGTAAAAATATGGAAGCCGACAAACTCCTTAATATATATCCTTCGTTTTCTCCCCTTTGAAACAACTTAAGAAACAATTCAAAGCTGTTAAGTGTCGTGCGACGTTTTAACCAATGAGCACAAAGTACAAACATATCACTACAACAGCGTCAATCTCATACCAAGTACCAAAAAAATAAAGATAGGACGACATTCTCAACTTTTTGCATACTCTTTATATATAATGAAGAACATTTATCGTTGAGCTATCATTCACCATTTCTTGTTTCTTGCACGGGAAGGAAGAAAATGAAAGTTCATTCTGTTTTAAATCTTTCTCTAATTATTTTGTGCTACTTAAGTGCCCAACAATGTAATGCAGGAGAAGCTGATGTTCTAAGCAAATTTCTTAAGGCTCGACGAGCAAATCGCTTGCACACAACAAGAATTACCAATAGCCTAGCGGCTGATGAGAAACAGAGATCAGTGTCAGGATTCATAGTGCCACAGGTAGGATCAAAGGAAGATGACAAGATCTCGGCATTGCCAGGGCAACCAAGTGGGGTTAATTTCGATCAGTATTCAGGATATGTGACTGTTGACGCTGATGCTGGTAGAGACTTGTTCTATTACTTCACTGAATCAACTCAAGATCCTTCTACCAAGCCCCTTGTTTTATGGCTAAATGGAGGTAAGTACACACACACCATTCCCCCGTTACCCCAATTGCCAAGAGGAAGATTGTTTTTCTAACACTAATTTCATGCATATTATCATTTTCTTCCCTTTACTTGTGCCATTCATTTTGGTGTTGCTTTAAGAAAAATATTAACGCACTCACCATGTTTCCTTTGTTGTTTTGTATGTACTTGATATATAGGACCTGGTTGTTCGTCGCTGGGGGCTGGAGCAATGATGGAACTTGGACCATTCCGCGTCAATAAAGATGGAAAAACCTTGTGGCTCAACCCATTTGCTTGGAATAACGGTAGTACTTAATTACCTTTTCTGCAAAATCTGTCATCACAATTGATTGATAGTAATTAATCAGAAACACGTAAATAACAATGACAATAATTTTGCGACTTTAATGCAGTGGCAAACATCCTCTTTTTAGAATCTCCTGCCGGTGTTGGATTCTCTTACTCTAACACATCATCAGATTATATAACTGGAGATGAAAATACTAGACAAGACAGTTTCACTTTTCTCATCAATTGGATGGAAAGATTCCCAGAATATAAACACCGAGATTTCTACATTACTGGAGAGAGTTATGCTGGGCACTATGTGCCTCAACTTGCTCAGCTGGTCTTATCCCGCAAGAAAACAGAACCCAACCTTGTCATTAACTTGCAAGGAGTAGCTGTAAGTTAAGCTTCAAAAGATCACCAAATTCTTTTTCTCCTGATAAAGTCACTAAATTATATAGTGTCTACATACTAATTACTCGCACATGACATGGGTTTTCAGACTGGAAATGGCATTATCGATGATGAAACAGCGACTAGTGGTTCCTATGACTTCTATTGGACACATGCACTAATATCAGATGAAATCCATGAAGGAATTGTCTCGAATTGCAACTTCTCGGCAGAAACCTCTACCACAGAAGCTTGTACTGAGTACACAGGCCAAGCAGATTCATCTCAAGGCAACATATACACTTATAACATATATTCCCAACTGTGCAACTCCTCTGCCTATTTTTCCCTTCCTGTAAGTTCCACTCGCTAATTAACTGCTCGTTCATTCTTGAGATTTTTTTTATTTGCACCCAGTATTTATACCGATTCAAATAATTTAATTTTACTGTCGCAAATTAAGGTGAGACTGTGTGCCAATACTACTGTTATGAACGCTCTAGACTACCTACTTTACTACCCTAACCCTCGACCTCCATACCTTCCTATCAAGGGTCATGTCCTCGGTTAGCTGAAGCTGCGCCATGTCTTTCCTAATCACCTCTCCTCACCTTTTCTTTGGCCTACCTCTACCTCTCCGTAACCCTCCAATGTCAACCTGTCACGCCTCCTCACCGGGGCATCTGTGCTCCTCCTCACATGATCAAACCACCTAAGTCGCGCTTCCCGCATCTTGTCCTCAATAGGAGCTACATCCACCTTGTCGTTAATGACCTCATTTCCGATCCTATCTAACCTGGTGTGCCCACACATCCATCTCAACATCCTCATCTCTGCTACCTTTATCTTCTGGACATGGGCGATCTTGACTGGCCAACACTCAGCCCCATACAACAACGTTGGTCTTACCACCACTCTGTAGAACTTACCCTTAAGTTTCGGTGGCACCTTCTTGTCACATATAACACCGGAAGCGAGTTTCCATTTCATCCATCCGGCCCCAATACGATGTGTGACATCTTCATCAATCTCCCCATCCCCTGAATAATAGACCCAAGGTACTTAAAATTCCCTCTCCTAGGGATGACCTGCGAGTCCAGCCTCACCTCCCCTTCCCCCTCTGTAGTCTCGCCACTGAACTTACACTCCAGGTATTATGTCTTGGTCCTGCTTAACTTAAAACCTTTAGATTCCAGGGTCTGCCTCCATACTTCTAATTGCGCGTTCACACCGTCTCGCGTCTCGTCAATCAATACAATATCATCTGCAAAAAGCATGTACCACGGCACCTCCCCCTGGATGTGGCGCGTCAGTACGTCCATCACGAGAGCAAACAAAAAAGGACTAAGTGCCGACCCCTGATGCAACCCCATCATAACCGGAAAGAAGATATTTGCACCCAGTACCCAGTACTTATACCAATTTTAATAAGTAACAACAACAACAACAACAACAACAACAACAACAACAACAACCCAGTAGGATCCCACAAGTGGGGTATGGGGAGGGTAGAGTGTATGCAGACCTTACCCCTGCCACGGAGGGATAGAGAGGCTGTTTTCGGGAGACCCTCGGCTCAAAGATAGTAGATCTGTAACAACAACATAAACCTGAAAAATAAAATCAGCATCGTAAAAGACAGTAAACAAATAGAAAGGCCAAGATGTGAAAGACATCAAAAATGTGAAACACAACAAAACCGCTAGCACTCCTAGACAAAACACTATCAGCCTAGCCTGCCCAACGAGGATACACGCTCGCTACCCCTAACCTACAACCCTAATGCTTGACCTCCACACCTTCCTATCAAGAGTCATGTCCTCGAAAATCTGAAGCCGCGCCATGTCTTGCCTGATCACCTCGCCCCAATACTTCTTAGGCCGCCCTCTACCTCTTCTCGTACATGCCAGAGCCAACTGCTCACACCTCCTAACCAGAGCATGGTGAGAAAGAAGGGGGAAAAAGACCATGCGTAACAGCACATTCTGCACCCCAATGATAAGCAGTGCTCTTCCCAGTAGATTTTACATACCTTTATTACATTTATACCATAACTATTTCTTTTTGTTTATAACAGATAGATGGATTTGATCCATGCTCAGCTGATTACATAGACAATTACCTAAACACTGTCGAAGTACAAAAGGCGCTTAATGTCAGAGATATACCCCATTCCTGGGATTCTTGCAAGTAATACATAATGTGATTTTTCAAAACATTTTCCTTCTTCATATCAAGAAGGCTGATTTTCTTAGTTTTGGTTTAATTTCACTTGTGCAGTGGTTACATACAAGGATCTTGGCAGGACTCCCCGCATACTATGCTACCAATCTTTCAAGAGCTCATGCAAAATGGCATTAGGGTTTGGATTTATAGGTAAGTAAATCAAGCAATGGAGCAGTCACCACAAAAGCAATTCTGAAATTTTAGCTATTTCGAAACAATAACATTTTCTCAAGCCTTTTTTTTTGTTACAATTTCAGTGGAGATGTAGATCATATTTTGCCTGTGACGACAAGTAGATATGCTATAGACAAAATCAAAACACCAGTCAAAACACCATGGTATCCTTGGTTCTTCCAGGGCGAGGTAACGAAGTAGTCATTATTCTTTATCCCTACAATCTCTTTCTAGAATCTCATATATGCATATGAATTAATTATTTCATATAATCCTTTTTCTTTCAAGGTTGGTGGTTATGCAGTAGAATACCAGAACTTGACATTCGTGACTGTAAGAGGAGCAGGACATTTTGTTCCAAGCTATCAACCTGGCCGTGCATTGACCATGTTCTCATCCTTCATCAATGGAACACTCCCTCCTCATCTCCACTAAGCAGAAAACAAATGAATATTGTGATATTCCCTTAACAAAGAGACGTATAAATTATGGCCTCTCTGACTATGTGTGTTTCTGATTAGTAAGAAAAAGTCTCACTTCACTAGATGTCATTCCAAATGTCTAGTTGCATCTTGGAGAGCTTTATCAGAAATGGTTAAATTTCCAGCCGGAGCTCCTCTTTCCTTTCCGAGTTTCTTCCTATTCTGCCCTGTACCTCTCGTCACTTGTACTCTGAAAACAAAAACACAAAGAATGCATGAGTTTGTCAATTTTCTCTTGTCGCATAGTTAACGTTGTGCAACTCACGATCTCTTGCCACATAGTTGATTTTTCTTCCTCTAGCTTTTGATGCATCCTCTCTTCTAGTTTTTGCATGAGATCATCAGAACACTAAAAGAGGGTTCAAATTGTATTCCGCTAAAAAAAGTTATTCCATAACCCCTGTTAGGATCGTGAATCCGGGTAGTGCGGAGTTTAGCCAAATAACGGTATAATGACAATAACAAAGACAATGAAAGTTGATAATAACGGCAATTAAAGAATATAAAGAAGACACAAATTTAACGTGGTTCGGTCAAGGTGACCTACGTCCACAAGCGGAGATGAGCAATTTCACTATACCAACAAGAGTACAAAAGAGAGTATAAAATTAGAGTAAATACTCTAATTAATCCCAAATACCCCAAGAGAATAACCTCACAAGATCACTCCAAAGAAAGGGTTTACACAAGTGTTTCCCAACACTCACTCTCTTATAAAATACTCTATAATGAAATAAAGGAGGAGAAAGAAACACAAGAGTGAAAAGCTCTTGAATTGGTGTGTTTGCAAATGAGAAGAAACTCCTCTATTTATAGCAAGAAATCCTTGGCCTAATAATGGATATTATGTCATGGCAAATGTCATGATCCACAAATTTGTTATAAAGGATATTATGTCATGGCAGTCATTAACCACAAATTTGTTATAATGGATATTATGTCATGGCAAATGTCATAAAAATTTGGCTATATTACAAATCTCCACCTTGGTCTAATTTCGGCTTATAGTAAATTTGCTCCACCTTCTCCGCAAAAACCCCAATGGGCAAAATTATTCTTCATAAATGCCAATCAAGTTCAGGCAAAGCTTGAACTTGGATACTGGAAGAGGTTTTGTGAACATGTCAGCAGGATTGTCTCTAGTGTTGATCTTCTGAACAGAGACTTTTCTTTCAGCAATGGTTTCTCGGATGAAATGATACTTTATATCAATGTGCTTCGTCCTCTCATGATACATTTGATCTTTAGTCAAGTGAATGGCACTTTGACTATCACACAAAATGATAATACCACCTTGTTGTAAACTGAGTTCCGCAAATAGACCCTTCAACCATAAAGCTTCTTTGATCGCCTCGGTCACTGCCATAAATTCTGCTTCGGTAGTAGATAAAGCTACTACATGTTGTAATGTAGCTTTCCAACTAATAGCGTAACCCCCGATGCAAAATACATAGTCTGTCAGTGATCTTCTTTTGTCAAGATCACCTGCATAATCTGAGTCTACAAAACCAACCAAAGTGTTAGTATTTCTCCCAAACTCCAAACATGTGTTTGAAGTACCTCGCAAGTATCTGAGAATCCATTTCACAGCATGCCAATGTGCTTTACCAGGGCAAGCCATATACCGGCTTACCAC